TATAATGTATGTAATTGAAAATCCAATTTGTTGGATAATACGTACGATTATTTTGACGCCTGTATGTCTAAACGTAGACGACATGCTTTTCGTATGCAGTAAATGCATGCCAATAGCAATATCTTAAGCAATTTAGTAACAACCTCGTATGCACCTTAATGAGACTGCTCAATGTTAGCAGTACGGGACAATATCGCAGTGAGAGTTCACACAATTGTGGCATATATGCACCGAGGAAGTCGATCAATTTCTCCATAGAAATCTCATGATGAGTATCAACTGAGGAGCTGAGGTGATCCGAAAAGACCGTCAAATAATCGGCGTTCACATCGAGTCGTTTACGAGTGCGCAACTCCTCTTCAGCCAAACATTTATAGTAGGTTGAAACCTCAAAAAATTTGAGAAAAACTTAGTATAATAGTGCAGTAATCGATCATTTCGGATCAGATTTTAGCGCTTTTTTCTGCTATTGGTTTTTCAGCAATCTGAGAAATTGCTGGAAGAGTCTCACAATGTTTTTGGAAGAATCTCGTTGAGAATCAAATGCTGAGACATTCAAAAGTTTCTTGTTTTTTGAATTAGAAATTTGGATCGATCANATTTTGGTATGAACAATCAGTGGTTTGCTTGATGGGTCGGTCACCTGATGAGTTTACAAATTCGAACGAACACAAAGCGCAAACGAACGTTAGCTTACCTGTCGAAGGTGAATAAGCGACAATAAATCACAATTTTCTAGAATGATCAGTCGTAACTCAGCCGGCAACCGATGTAACATTGTTTGTTGTCTTGGTTGTTATCGAATTGTTGTCAGTCAGTAAATCATCTAATAAAATCAGTTCAGGCCAATCATTTAGTACTGAAATTGCAAAACTTTAACAGTAGATTCCTCGCGAGAATCGATTCATCATCACTTCTGAGATGAGATATTAACAGATGCCAGTCAAATATCTCCTTGAAGGGAATCCAAGCAACGTGAATTTATTAGCCCAATTGAGAATGTTAACGAGGAAATTGCGAAAGCGATAACGCAACAACTGTTGATTTATCGCCTAAAAACGCTAGTGTTCACTGAACACAATTCGGCACGTACAAACGACACATTCAATACTTTACATTAGTAGATTTGCATAAGCCACCTTGCATGCTCACTGGACCTTCAACTGATTTATTGAATGAGCAAGGTGAAAATTCCATAAAATGAACAATTAATTTATTCATAGTCAGCAATTGAATTCAATCACTTATGCAAAATTTAATTTAAATACGAGTGCAAGTATCAAAGTAGTTGCTAATGAAAGTCCACGTAATCCAAATGTTTGTGGTTCCGATTCCAATTTTGTTCGTATCAAAAACCCATTCAGAGTTTTCATTTGATTGCACAAATTTCATCAACGAAACACACAAGTGTCATCTTATTAGGCATTTGCGAATTTTTATTAGATTTCATTCCGAAAGAAAAGAATCAATAAAGTGAGTGCAAAGATCTTGAAAAATGTTGAGCAAGCAAATACGGATGATGTAAAGCAGAATTCAATAATCCGATGAAGAAACAACGGTTACGTGGGATTCAACTGAGTGATTATGTGATGTGGTTTAGTGGTGCTATTGACAGCCGATTAGACTGAATAGCGGTCAGGTCAGTTCTAGAGAAAACGCATTCGAATGAAATGATGAAAGATGAAAATGTCTGTTCCGTGATGACCAAAAAAATCTGGTGAGCAGGAACGAACATTTATCAGAAATCAATCGAGAAAATAAAAAGTCGACATCTTTTTCAAACCAACTGAACAGTCTGGAGACGACGTGAAACGTATGCTAACGTAAGCGATAAAATTTGTGTGTTCTATTGCTATTCAGTAATAAACAGAATTGAATTCCATGATGAAAATGATGGGAATGTAATGTAAACATTATTGGTTGAATGTTGAATTGTGATAGAAGGATGACTAGTAATTGATGGGAAAGTACAAAATGCTTAAATTAATTCAATTTTTTCAGTGAATATCAAATGATTCACTCACTGGAAGTATGCGGTGAGCAGTATCGAAAACTTTTCTAACACTTCGAAGTATTTATGAACGTTTAAGAAAATTTCCCGATCGTGCTCAGTGCAAAAATAGATTGAAAATGAGAAAAATCAATCGGAATTCTTCACCTCTCTCATCGAATTACCATCCGATTTGCGTTAAAAATAGAATAGTTGAGAGTTAAAAGTGAAAGTGAAACAATCGGCCAACAGAATGAAAGATGTTCAGTTGTTGATAGGTGTTGAAGAACGCCTGTCTGATGATAACAACTCGAGGAACTGATAAAATACGAGGAACTGATAAAACATTCGAATGAGATAAGGTCGAAAGATGCAACAAACA